TATTCCTTTGGTAAATAGCAACGGAATAGCAACAAACTCTTTCAAAATCGTATAATGTCATTATTATTATTATTTATAACACTTACAAAAGTAAAATTCTTTATATATATATATATATATATATATATATATATAATGATAAATATTTAATTTACATTAATATTATTTAGTTATGTAATTAATTTAATAATATTTAAATCAATTCAAAATAAATATGTGCCACATATGCATTCCATTCATTTTTAGAATTTGTTATATATCATAATAATTAAAAAAAATCATATATATATATATATATATATATATGATTTTATGACATTGTTAAATATGTTAAGCCTAAAAGTAAAATTAGTAATTAGGCCGTATTATCGTTGAATTTTGTGATATTGTTTTTTAATTAGAGTATTGAATATTATGATAGATGATAGATGATATTAAAAAATCATATATACATATATATGATTTTATAATTGTACTTATTATTTATAAAGATATTTAGATATATGATAAAATTTTACCAAAATATTTATTTTAATTTGTGAATAAAAAATTTTATAATGACACTTATTTTGAAAGGAATATAATATAATTTGTTATCAGTTAGTGCACTGTACGAGTTGTGTACTAATTTAAATAGACACATTTATGTAATTTTGCACAGTTTAAATTACATATAATATTTTCAATAAATTAATATAGGTAAATTATATTACATATTTATTCCATATTTTTATTTTGTAAACATTATTTAATGAGGTAATAAATTTGAATGATAAGGTGGCCGACAAAAAATCTAGAAAATTGCGAGAATATATATATATATATATATATATATATATATATTGTGTGTGTGTGTGTGTGTATACATACATATATAAATGAAAATTTATTGTGTAGTCCAAATTTGTGTTTCAAATTTAAAAGTTAAATAAGTAATTATTCATAACTTATGAGTCAATATTAACTTTGACGTAAATGAAATAGTTAATTATTTAATTTAATAAATTACTCAACTACTTAAAATTTTTTATTTGGATAGTTTATACAAAAATAAATTCATTTTAATTAACTAATCAATATAAGTTTTATAACTATACTTATTATTTTAATAGATATTTAAATATTTGATAAAATTTTACCAAAAATTTCTTTAATGGAATCACATTGTAATTGAATTTATAAATAATTTTTTTTAAAATGACACTTATTTTGAAATAAATATTATATAATATATTATCAGTTAGTCCACCGTACGGGTTGTGTACTAATTTAAATAGACATATTTTATGTAATTTTTCACAATTTAAATTTCGTATAACATTTTAAGAAATTAATATAGGTAAATTGTATTACACATTGTGATAGGTCGAAAAATATGTATTTTTTATATATTTAATAGTGTATTTTTATACACTTATTTTATCGCACATTTATATTTTCGATTTATTTGTTATTTGGATGGATTCATATACATTTATATTTTGTTATATTTATTTTCAGCATTTAAAGTATTTTGTGGATTCGAGTAATTGGATGACGATACACGTTAATCTGGCCACGGTCGAAGCTTAAATTGAGGCCCAATTTGGTGAAGTTATCAAGTGAATTATTTGTTAAGGAGAATTAATTGGAGATTATCCAAAAGAGATGGGCCCATTGTGGAGGAATTAACAAAGAAGAAAAAAACGTAGAGAATTTGCACTTTATACGAGAAGATTCCTCAATTTTTGTAACTCTACCATAGTAACTAAAATAATTGCGTATCTACCTAAATCAACATATTTAATTAGATTAATGTCTAAATAAGTTATCACATCCTTTCCAACGCCCTCCCCTTGTTATCCGCTTAAATTACCGTTTCATTCTGGGAAAAAAAAAAAATCTTTACATATTTATGAAGCAGATCAACCTTACTGCTCGATAGCCCTCCTAAAAACGCAGCTAAGATGATGGCTGATTGTGGTTCACCGGCAAGGGGCTGACGAAGAGGGTTGCCGAAATCTGACGGAATCTATGGCGATGGGAAATTTGTTGCTGCGCTGTTGTCGTCGCCGGCGGTGGTGGCTAGTACGGGCGATTGGGTAAGGGGTGACGATAAGGTAAAACCGAGAAGGGCTTGGGATTATCTTCTGAGCGATTTCTCAAAGGTTGGGAGCTCTGAGATTTCTGTACGATGAGGTGAACGATGATGAGAGAGAAAGAGTATATATGCAGTATATGTACAGTATATGACCCGCGTCCCTGCCAAAACATAAGAATAAATTTCGACCAGAAAAGCGGATGGGGACACACATATATAGAAAATATACATAAAATATACTCTCGAGTTTTAATCGATTCTCAAATCAATTTCAAAACTCACATATACATAAAGTATATTTGCAGCATATTTGCAGTATTATGGTATATGTACAGTATATTTGCAGTATATGTTAAAGCAATATATATAGGCGATGAAGATTTCGTGAAATTTCGTACTCTTTGCCCGATTTTCTGAAATTACGCGCTAGGAACATGGAAGGTTGTTCCACTTATCTTGTAACTAATTTTAGGCATGATTATAATTAATATTTATCTTTTAGGTATATACACAATTTAATTAGTATGAATGATAATATTGCAATTATTTAAAAATCGTGTAGCACAGGTCAAAATTTCCCTAAATTGGTGGGAGGAAATTATTCATGAGGTACCAGGACTTGCATGCAAGTGGAATTATTTGATTGNTGAAAAAAAAAAAAAAAAGAATTTGGACCCAAAACTTGCATGATTCATGTGAAGAGAAGAATTGGACCAATCAAAAAATTGATTGGTTGAAAAGTCCAACTTGTTTAGGATTATTTGGGAAAATTGAGTATGATTCATGTGAAGAGAAGAATTGGACCAATCAAAAAATTGATTGGTTGAAAAGTCCAACTTGTTTAGGATTATTTGGGAAAATTGAATTAGCTGGGACTCATAATTGGCACCACTCATATACGCACAGGGAATTTATTGGGCGAGAGGCATTATTCACATTAAATTCTATATAAGTACATAAGTAAATAATACTCACATGTAGAGTCTCCTTGATTTTTTATTTTTGGTAGGACCCATTTAATGTGAGTGTTATGTACACCTCTATGTACAATATTATGTACTTGTAACATTTCTCTTATTCACGAAAAGAGAAAACGAGCAGTAGCCGAACGAGAGCACGATATGCGGAGGGAATCCGCACTCGCATACGATGGAGATATTTTTATCCTCTCTCTTTTATCTTTTATTTATTTTTATTAGTATGTTGAGATAGGATTTTTATCCAGTTTTATGAGAGGTTTGAACCCTAACTTTAATTTATTTACAAATTGAAGGATTTATTTTTATTATTAGTTAATTAACACTCCGTATGTATTTTTGTTGATGAGTTGATTCATACTATTTGTGGTCAATATTTATGAATTATGAGTATTTGATTTAGCTCGACCAGCTACGTTGAATGTTCATAGTTTAATTGCTAGATTTTGAACTTTAATCCGTAAATGCTATTGTCTCGTTTCATTAGAAGTAAACTAGGGGTCGTGCATCTCTAGGGTATCGTGAACATAAGTTAAATAGTCCGAGCTTTGCGTCCATTGCTTAGACTCATATATTTTCTTAGAGATTACTGCCGCTAGTGAATCAAATCTAGAGAGCTTATTCTAGGTTGTCCACTAGTTAGGTTTAGTTGAAGAGCTTATTTCGATTAAATACTCGGTAAGAGAAAATTCAGTTAACAGAGCTTGTTGTTAGCTAGAGTTGGTAATTCGTTAGCAATTTTAAGAAGGTGTTGAAATTAATTAATTGTAGATTTAGATTAGGTGATAACTGAACCGAAAACTGGACTTCTCTCATTTTATTTTATTTTGTTATTTTTATTATCTTAAAATCAATCCCCCCTTTTATTGTTTTAGTAGGTTTAATTCGATTAATACGAGAATATCACAATTTAGTTCATACTCCTCGTGGGATCGACCCTTACTCGCCGCTACTACTAGTTAGTAGAGGTTAGTCGAGGAATATTATAAATATAAATTCGCCGCGTTGCGACGCGCGGTCAGCATTAAATGCAGACAAGACATGTGACAGTTACTCGATGGACAAGCAATCGACTGACATGGGACCCCCTGGGCGATTCTGCACCAAATAATCATACAGTAACATGCCAACCTCAACAAGCGTGTCTTGTGGGTTTCATAGTATAAATACCCACAATTGTTCAAAAGAGAGATGCGACTTTTGCCATAACACTGTAATATTTTCCATTGAATTCTGAAAAGGCAGGGACTGAGGGTCCGACCAATTTCATATATAAAAATGAGGAAGTCTGACCTCATTCGATTGAATTTATCATCTTTGTTCATTGTTACTGTGACATTTGTTGCAGCCTTGATTCAATAATCACACTATTAATCCCATAATATTCTACGTAAGATCATCTTAACTTAGGGGATTACCCTAACCCGTTGTTACAAAATTTGCATAACAACATCTTGCATCCATGAAATTTCTTACCGGGATTTGATAGTCTTTGATGTGCGTAATTGAGTTCTCAAACCACAATAACAAACAAGATTTGAAGGAGACGAGAATAAATAAGCAGAAGACATCGATTAATTTATCTCTCTCGACCTTGACCTTTCTCGTGATTGAAGGAGACGGACCAATTTCAGAATTAGGGTTCATAATAATATGGTCGATTGACATATAAGGGAGAAGATGGTGAGGTGTCAATTTTTTTCCACCAGCCAATATTGGAATTGTTAAATTCGCATGAAGTCGTCATGACATGTCATGTCAGATAAAAATTCAAATCACATCACACCACGTCATTTTTTTATCTAGTGTGCATATGCAAATGGATCAAAATTGATTAAATTATCAAATTGTTGGACTCAATTTTAAAATAGTCAAGAAATTGATTTTTAAACTTTAGCCAAATTATAAAATAAATTTTAAATTTTGGACGGATGCGGAATAGACTTTGGATTCGTCGGCTGCCCCATCTTATAAATTAATGCTACTACTGAACCACCCGCACACGGCACACTCCTCTCATTCATTACCCCGACACACACACAGAGAGGCTGACATGGCGCAATCAGCCGACTATCACAGCCCACAGCCCCCTCTCCACTCGCCGGAGACCCCTCCGCCGCCGGCCGCCACCGCCCACACCAGCTTCCTCTTGGAGAAGGTTCTCACAGACACAAACATGCCCCGCGCGAAACGTCTCCGGACTGCCACGTGGATCGAGCTGAACCTCCTCTTCTGGCTGGCGGCCCCGGCCGTGATGATGTACATGATAAACAACGCCATGTCACTCACCACCCGGATATTCTCCGGCCACCTCGGAAATCTCGAGTTCGCCGCCGCCTGCCTCGGCAATCAAGGCATCCAGCTATTCGCCTACGGCCTCCTCGTAAGACTAATTTAATTTTAACCCTAATTCAAAAAATCAATTTGAATTTTCGAATTGCTGATTCCTCCCCTCCTTCCGCCGCAGCTGGGGATGGGCAGCGCCGTCGAGACGCTGTGCGGGCAGGCGTATGGCGCGCGGCGGTACGAAATGCTTGGCGTGTACCTGCAGCGGGCCACGGTGGTGCTCCTCCTCTTCAGCCTCCCGATTGTGGCCCTCTACCTCCTCTCCCGGCCGCTGCTCCTCCTGATAGGCGAGGCGGAGCGCGTGGCGGCACTTGCGGCGGTTTTCGTCTACGGCCTGATCCCGCAGGTGCTAGCGTACGCGTTCAACTTCCCGATCCAGAAGTTTCTGCAGGCGCAGAGCATCGTGGGGCCGAGCGCGTTGATATCACTCGCGGCGCTGGGGGCCCATCTGGTGATGAGCTGGGCCGTGGTTTACAGATTGGGTATGGGCCTGCTGGGGGCGTCCCTTGTGCTGAGCCTGTCGTGGTGGGTTATCGTGACGGCCCAATTCGTGTACATCGTGAGGAGCCACAGGTGCAGGGACACGTGGACGGGGTTCAAGTGGGAGGCGCTGACGGGGCTGTGGGGGTTCGTCAAGCTGTCTATTGCGTCAGCGGTGATGCTGTGCTTGGAGACGTGGTACTTTCAGGTACTAGTCCTCATTGCGGGCCTGCTGGAAAACCCTGAGCTCTCCCTCGATGCGCTTGCCGTCTGGTGAGTGAGTTTTTAAATAAAAAGCGTATGAATAAAAGGATGAGGATTATATTGGAAAAGACGTTATAACTGCACAAAAGATCCACAAATTAATATGAACCGGGCATAACATCTATACTTATATAAAAGGGATCCTATTTACTACATTTAGTATCCAGAAAAGTCAACTGCATTAAATGCCATTACTATTTCGGTATTAATATTTTATTTAGCTGATTTATTTATCTACTAGTGTGTACCCCGTCGAAGCACGGAAACAATATTAATTCTACAATATTATAAATAGACCTCGAGTTTGAGTTACTAAGTGAAAACTACTATTGATTCTATTTAAAAAGAGGAAGAAAAAAATAATTATAAATTAAAGAAGAGGATAAACAATACTTAATAATTATAAATTAAAGATTCGGGGTCAAACAATGTAAAATTATTTTGTATAAGAGAAAATAAAATTTGCATTATTTTGTATAAGAGAATATAAAATTTGGATGTTCAATATTAAAACACCTAAAATGTTATATTAGTATATGTAAAAGTATTCAAAATTTTCTATATTATTTTTTGTAAGATGTGAAGTCACTACAACTTTTCCAAACAATTTTAGAAGGAAAATATATTTAAAAACATTTGCATTTAACATTGTGTAAAAAAGATTTTTCTAGACTGTTTTGTAGAGAAAAACATGTCTAAAAATATTTAAATTTAACATCAATTATGTATATGTGTGTGTATATATATATAAATATATATATAGAGAGAGATAAATATGTAAACAAAATGTCTAAACAATTTGCTTAAAATATCTAAAATATTATAAGCCTAATTTAATAAAGACATTTAGATGGTACCGAATTTATGGTGTTACTCCATCTAACAAAATTTGATTACACATAATTTCAAAATTATTATTATACTTTTTACATTGTTTTGAGTTTATAATATTTGTAAAAATATTAGTAATTAGACCAATGAAAATTAGCAGCGTCGTCGTATTTTATTTTTTTTAAATAAGGGATGAGATTTTGAGTATCATAAAAACAGGTAAAAGAAATACAAATATTTATTATCACCGACGGATTTGAGTACAAAAAACAGGAAAAAAAGAAAAACAGATATATACTGTCATCGGGACGGTTTTGAGTACCAAAAAAACAGGAAAAAGAAAAACATATATATACTGTCACCGGCGGTTTTTGAGTACCAAAAAAAGAGGAAAAAGAAAAACAGATTTATACATAGCCGATCTTTTGCCTATTCAAAATTGACCAACAATTACTATATATAGGATACATTTAATGATATTGGCGGGAAAAACTTGCTAAATTTGTAAAAAGGTTATTCTTTTTATATAATGATAGATATATATATATATATATATAATAAGAATTACCATTTTTAAAAAATGGCAGATCAATTATATAGTCAAATTCTCTCATCATAAATTACTTTTCATTAATGACAATTTATTTATTTATTATTTTTTTAGAAAAAACGGACCAACATTAATTGATTTCCTTAAAATGTGGAAGTTGTTGCTTTATTTTTGTACAGAAAATCGGGCTTCATTATATAAATTTGTTCAATTACACAATGAATTTGCTATGATATAATTATTTTTTATGGGAACTTTTTTTTTAACAGAAAAATATGACATTTCAATAAGATTTTCGATCTTTTAAGACTGATTGTTATCCTGCTGTGAAATTGAACATTCCAATATACCTTAACAAAATATACACGTGTTGTATACATCAGTTAATAGAAATATAGAATCCTCATATATATATATATATATATATGTAGTTTTTCTATTACCAAATTTAATTGATAGTTGTTGTGTTATGGATTTTTCATAATTGATACTTGGTTGTTGTGATATTTAGTTTTGTTGGTGTGGCAAAAATTCTAATCTATATATATAATAAGAATAATCATTATAATGCAAATTAGAAAAATATTGATATTAGAAGAGATTGAGTTCATAGGTTTTTTTTTTTTAAATCAAAGTTGTTTAATTAGTATACAAAATTAAATTCTAAAAAAATATATGTGTATATTTTGTACATTATTTATACACTATTTAATTTTAAATTTATTTACATATTCTAAATCGATTACTTATATAAATAATACCAACGTGCATTAAATATTTTTCATTACATAAAATAAAAAGAACAAGAAGACGTGCAACTTCTATAACTTTATAAATAATAATGACATTATATGGCAACAGAGTTTATAGCGAAATAATAATTAACTATTATATAGTGAACAATAATAAGTACAATTGTTATTTTCTCTTATATCAAGGAATAAATATATATAACAAAATTAAATTTATATTAGTATAAATGTGTTAGTAAGATAATATATTAATTATTTTACAAGTTAGCCCTAACATGCTCACGTTTAATGTTCTGACTAATAAAACAACGCTGATTAAAAGATGTGAAAAATAGACAACAATCATATTTTTTAGACTTAACGGAGATTAAAAGAGGTGAAAAATGGATGATAACCCTTTTCAGACTTAAACGAGACTTAACGGTGATTAAAAGAGGTGGAAAATAGATGATAACCTTTCTCAGACTTAAAGCCTGTGAAAATAATTCATTTAATGTTTCTCTCACGTGCATCGCACGAGGTACGTACTAGTTTCCAAAAAGAATAAAATCACGCTAAAACTAACAACCGATTTGAACATAATGTTCGCAATTTAATTAGTTAGTATGATCGAATGTTCTCAATTTAATTAGTTAGTGGATATTTTGTACTATGATGAAAGTTACTAGACAAAGTTAGAATAGTTAATTTCTGCTAAATAACTATCATTCAAAAAATAATTGTCTTAAACTTATAGATCAGATCTAAAATTGCACTGTACAAAAATATCACATATAGAACGTAGCGAAAAGACGTGACAAGTGCGACAAAAATAGAAGTTGGCTTGAAACTTGAGCACATTGTTGATGAACTTGATTTGCATTATATTTGACCTTAGTGGAGTAGGCAATCCCACGTCATAAACGATGTTTATTTTGACTTAATATGATTAATGCGCGAAATGACATGACTGCCTTAATCATGTGCCCTTTTATAGTTTTATTATTTATGTGGGGGCAACTATTAAATTTAGATAATTAATGTGTGAAAAGACAATAGCGAATAAAGTACTTGCTAGTTGCCACTAAATTAACCATGTACATTCAAACATTAAGAGTTGGTTGGATATAATTTTTTTATTGGATTCTTGAGTAAGTTTGAGTGAATTTTGAATTTGTATTAAAATAATATTTAAAATAAAATAATTAAAATTAATTTATTGTAAAAATATGAGAGATATGATTGGAAGTGATGATTAGTTAAAATTATCTGAGTTGAAAAATAGTGAATTAAAATTGATATAATGTGTGAAGTAATTGATTGATATTATTTAATTATATTGAGAAAATTTGGTTGATTTAAATTTGAGTTGTGATTGAATTTATTTGATAAAAACTTATATCCAAGCATACACTAAATATTAAATGTTTATACGTTGATATTCTAGTTATGTCCATCTAATCATTAATCAGTTATACTTTTT